ATGTCAGAGGGGGGTGGGGCTGGTGGAGGATGCTCCTTCCTGACCCCTTGGAGTCAGCCTCTGGGGTCCTCGTCCTCAAGTGCAAGGAGTGGTCTGAGAGTGGTGGAGCTCTGATTTGGGGTGGGGGACAGCAGGCTGGGAAGGGCGCGGGTGCCGGGTGGGGCAGCCGGGCTCAGTAGAGTCCACAGCCCCGCAGGTTTTTGGCGATGATGACGTCCGTCACGGCATCAAAGACAAACTGGATGTTGTTGGTGTCTGTGGCACAGGTGACGTGGGTATAGATCTCCTTGTGAGCTGACTTGTTCTTGCTCTCGTACTGGGCCTGGATATAAGCCACGGCTTCTGTGAAGGCGCTGGGGCCTGCGGGAGCAAACAGGCAGGGAATGGGTGAGGTGTGGACGGCCAGCCTGGCCCCATCCAGCCACAGGCCTCTCAGAGACGGCCATGATGGGAAAAACCTGAGGAGGGTGGGGAAACCTGAGGACTCAGCCAAGTCAACAGTGGGCCATGAGTCCAGTCAGTGGCTCAAATCCAGTGCAAAAATCATGAAAGAAACAAATGAAATGTCAGGTCTCCTAGTGGATTTCTGGTATAAAGGTGAGGGCTATTTCACAAAAATTCTGTTTTCCTTTTATACATGCGCCTCCTGACTCCTGCTGCAAGCTTTGTATCTTGCCATGGGTCATGTGCAAAGAGGTTTGAGCACACTGGGCTTGTGCAGGTGGCCCTGGCTGATGCAAGCCTGCAGGCAGGCCCTTGTGAGCCTGTGAGCCTGCAGAGTGGGCCGCGATGTTGACTCCTCTGGCTACTGCTGGGCCAAGTGGGATGAATAGTCTGTGAGCAGCCCCCCTTCTGACATTCCCTCTTGGGGATTAAGAACTGCCTGGTTTGCCCCCTTGCTGCCTTCCACAGGGGGCATCAAACTGATCTGGTTCCCAGGTGGGCTCAGGAAAAGGGGAGACCAGGAGAGAAGCTGCTGGCCAGGGAAGGAGTGGAACAGGACTTGGGCTTTGCACCAAAGCCCCACAGCCTTCAGGAATCTGAGCCCGGCACAGAGGGGGCAGCAGGGAGGGGAGCCAGTTTTTGGAGCCACAGTGCTCAGTCGGAGTGGGCTGCTGTGTAGAAAGCCTAGGACTGGCATTCCCGGAGGAGGGGTACCAAGCATCTGTGACACATGAGTATGGGCCATCAGGCCTGGTCTCTGCTAAATCTGGGCTGGAACTGAGGGGGTGTCCCTGGGACTACAGCTGACGTCTCAGACTCCCTTGGTTAGTGGTCCCCCTTTCCCACCTGGCCTTGGGGACTGACCCACCCTGCCTGCTTCTACTGCCCCTCAGGGTGGGATCCACAGGCCACCAACGATGCCTGGAGATGGCAAGTGCGAAGGAGGCTGTGCCCCATCCACCTCTGACTGGACAGTCTGGGGTCCTGGCCTATGGGGTAGTCAGCCTGATCTTGGAGGGGGAAGGGCAGTCGGTAGGGAGAGCTGTACTTCTTGCCTGGCCTTAGCTCACTCTTAGGGAAGTAAGTGCAGCCTGGGCCTTCCCTGGCGGCTGTAGGCCCACCCTGTTGGGACTCTCTCCACTCTGTGCTCTCCAAGCCTGAGGGTAGGTCAGGCTGAGGATGCCCTACTTTTCCTCCCACTCACCTCTCTGGTCAGGGCCTGGCCAGCTGGAGCGAGCTGATGGGCACTTCAGCTATTCTGGGGCCCTGCTACCACTCTGCCACCACCTGACCAGGGCTGCCACCCTGTAGCTCCTCAGAGGCCCAGGCCAGGTGAACCCACTATAACACTGACAGAGCTGGCCTCTTGTCCTTGGTACCCTCCACAGGGAAGCCAGGGCTCTGCTGCTTGCAAAGCTCTGTCATTTGAGTCTTGCGGCAGGCCCATATGGGAGGTGTCACTAGGATGCTTGTGAGTTACGGTGATCACCCTGATAGCAAGAGTGAAGTCGCAGTGAGCACCTATTATGTACCAGGCACCATGCCGCTCTGCATGCTCGTAGCTCATTTCATTCCCCACAGCAACTCGGTGAGGGAGGGTAGGGGCATCACAGCATCACACCCATCTCACAGACGTGGAGACTGAGGCCCAGAGAGGTCACATGGCCTGCCTGGGTTGCGGGTGAGTGGTAGAGCTGGGGCGCGAACCTGGGACTGCCTGACTTCAAGCTGCTGCTCATCTCCCCTCATCTCCTCTGCGGTCTCACTTTACACAGAGTCTCTGTTTACAGATGGCAGAGCCCAGGCTCCTGGAGGCGGCCAAGACCACATGGCCGGTCAGTGGCAGAGCCAGGGCTCCAGCTGCTGTTCCTGAAGGGAAGACCAGCCAGCCTCCCCAACCCCCTCGCACAGCACACTCCAGGGGAGGGGTGGGGCCTGTGTTGTGCTGGATTCTCTGTGGTGGAGTCTGGGGAGTCTGCAGAGCACAGTAAGGGTGGACTGAGCTTTGGCAAAGGGGCTGCCTCGGGAATCCTGCTGTCCTGGAGGGGTCTCTACCTGTGTATTCAGGAAAGCAGATGGTGAGTGGGGACTTCTTGATCTTCTCTTCAAATATGTCCTTCTTGTTAAGAAACAGGATGATGGACGTGTCTGTGAACCATTTGTTGTTGCAGATGCTGTCGAAAAGCTTCAGGGATTCGTGCATGCGATTCTGCAACAGAGTGGAGGGGCGAGTGAGGGGGGCAGCGCCCAGGCCCTGACCCACCACAGCCCACGACACAGCGGAACAAGCAAAGGGAAGGTTGATCAGGGTGGCTGGATGCACCACCAGGACAGAGATGGGAGGGTCCACAGGACAAAGGGGACATGGTCCCTGCTTCATTCCACACACAGGCAGGGCAGGGTGGAGCAGGCTTGGAAGGGGTGGGGGGATGCTGCCCCCCTCCAGAGAGAGCTGGCCCAGGTGGGGGCAGTGAGGTCACCGGAGAGGCTCCAGCTCATGGAGAGGACATGCACCATGCACGTGGAGGGCAGGGGCCGCGACCACCACCGAACATGTCTACACAGACCGCGGGTCATGCAGATTTCTCTACTGGGGTCTCATTCGGTTTCAACAGCGGGGTTGGGAGGGTGCACGCATTCAGTTGGGAAACATTAACCGAGGACTAAGAGATCCTCGAATTAATCCTGAGTTGGAAGCAGACACCAGGGGGATAGCATCTTGGGGGTGATCTTGCTGTGGCCTTGGTGTGGTTGGTGGCCTGGTTGGTTGGCTGGGACATGGCTGGGGCAGGGGAGGCTCTGAGTGAACTGGTTGTTGGGGCTGGTTTCTCAGTAGAGGGGCCAGAAGAACCCCAAGATGAAACACAGCAAAACAGATTAAGAGAGGAAAATAAAAACCCAGCAGCAAATATGAGAGAAAGAGAGAGGAAAAAATGAAAATGGGTTCAACCAGTCTCGGGGTCAGGATGTCCAGGCCAGTCCACATGGAGGCCCCTGTGCAGGCTCACAGGGACCAGGGCTGTCCTGGCCTGTGGACCACATGGCTGAAGATGAAGGCCAGGGTGGCGTGTGGGGCCGGACCAGGTGGGCGGCACAGCAAAGTCACCCAGCGGGGCCTGATAACCTGCTGCTTTCAACTCTTAGCTGATGGGCTCGATTGGAGGGAGGTGCTTCATACCTTCCGGGCTTGGAGGGTCTCACAATCTGCTCATGGTTTTGGCCTTGGTTTGGCAAGACAAGGCCCTGCAGGCGGTGGTGGCGGCAGTGGTGGTGGAGAAGTTGTGGCAGCCTGAGGCTGATTGGGTGGTGCCGACAGCAGGTAGGCCAGCACCAGCCCTCAGGGTCCCCGGGTGCGGCAGACAGGATGGCTCGATGGCAGGCGGCGGCCACTAGCCCCAAGGCCCTCCTGGCCTCCAGGATCTGCCTCCAAACACCTTTGTCTTGGGCAGCCCCAGTGCTTACCCCAGCCCAGGGAGGGATGCGAAGGGCTGACCAGAGAGGAGGACTGAGGACCAAGGCCTGAGCCCTGGGGATCTCACTCTGGCCTCTTTGGGGCAGAATGCCCATATCCTACAACCTGACTTCTAGCCTCAGCATCTGGACACCGGAGCAGCAGCTGCCATTCACTGAGTGCCAGTCCCGCATGCAGGCACGCTTCTAGCACTTAGCCCAGCAGTTCTCACACTGCTGGCGAGGCCAGTCTACGTCATCACCATTTACAGGGGAGGAGGTGGAGGCCCGGGCAGGGTGGATGATGGCCCGTGGTTGCACAGCTGGCAGGGGCAGCACCAGACCCTGGACCAGATCTGTCTGGTCCCAGACAGCCCACCTCTGCACGAGCCCCTGGGCACATGGCGACTGCTTTGCTCTACAGCAGTGGTGGTATTCCTGCTACCACCATGGCAAGGAGCTGCCTTTGTGGCTGCTGCCGATTGCAAAGCCAATCCCCGCTCCCTGCAGGGGTTGCTGCTCTTCCTTGGGCTGTGAAGGTGGCCAGTTTTGAGAAGGGTAGGACCCCAGAAAGAACCTTTTGGTGACCTTGGCCCCATATGCTTTGGCTTCTCCAAGGTCCTCTGCTCCAGCCCTTGTGAAGAAAGGTGGGGGAAATGGAAGAAGAGGGGGTTGAGGGAGGCAGAGGAGACTGGAGGGAAAATGCTCCAAGACATGGGCACTGCTTGGCAGCAAGAGCCTGCCAGTCTGGACAGACAGAACAGACTGAAAGGTTGCCCAGTACGAGGCCTGGCAACAGGCTCAGCCCCACACTCCCTGAAGCCCCATGGACCATGGTGTTTGGTGCCGGAGGCTGCCAGTCCCACCCAGATGTCCCTGTGCTTCTATCCTGAAGAGGCCAGTGACAGTCTAGCCCCAGGGGCCTGGGACTTGGCTTTAAGCTGTCTGTGGGCCTGGCAGGATGGGTCTAGGGGCAAGGCAGATTCCAGGGTGCAGGGCCTTCCCACCCTCCAGCTCCTCTGAAACCCATGGTGGACGCAGCGTCGCTCTCACAGGTGCTACACAGAGAAACAAGAACCAAGCAGAGCTCAGGCCCCAGGGGTTGGAGCAGGGACTCCAAACGCACAGTGCCCACCACAGTGGGAGGGCAATGGGAGGTGTGCCGGGTGTGCTGGGCAGTTGCTGTGCAGGACCCACGGCCAGGAGGCTTTGGGTGGTCACTGAGTCTGGGTCCAAGCATGGCCCTGGGTACACAACCACCCCTACCCCACCCTCAGGGTCAGGACTAAGCCGGCGACTCTGAGACACCACTGCCTACCAAGGCCACTGAGAATGACGGCTTGACAGAGGAAGAGCAAGGCGGGTGAGCCAGTGCGCTGCGGGTCCAGATCCCACCCTGCCCTCACCTACCTAAAGCCCCATCACGCTGTGCAAGCCCTTCAGAGTGGCGGCTCCTCCCCCCTACAGCACTGTACTCGACGCCCATAACACAGCTCGTCCCATCTCATTGCAGCTTTATGGGACCAGTGGGGCCAGGCCTGGTGAGGACACTAAGACCCAGAGACAAGACAGGCCTTGTTCAAGGCCCAGTACCACCACAAGCTCCACCTCAACCCTCAATGCCAACCCAAGAGGCTAGGATGAAAGGTCTGTGTGTGTTCAGCAGAAGAAGATGCCAGGCAGTGACCCCACAGCCTATAGGCCCCATTTCCAGGAGTGTTGGGGCTTGTCTCCAGGGACACTGTGGGCCATGCTTACACAGGCCCCCAGCCTGGTGGGCTGCAGTCCAGATGGGGACTGTCCCGTGGACCTGCAGGCTCAGGACAATCACCAGCAACCATACAGTCCCCAGCTCGGCGCAGCCATCCCAGAAACGGCTCCAGAGTGCTGCACGTGGCTCATCCATTCCACTGCCAGCAGCCCCCCACAGGCAGGCACTATTATTATCCCCTTTTACGGAAAATAGTAACTGAGACAGAAAGGGTGCTGCCTACATTCGGCAGCAAACCAGTGAGTAGCAGAGCCAGGACGAGGCCCAGGGGAGTGTCCCCCTCTGAAGACAGTCTGGCAGTTCTCAGAGGCCAAAGCTAGTGGCCAGAGGCTACATATGACGACGCACAGATGGAAGATAGGAGCCTGGCCTGGCATCCGTCAAAGAAGAAGCCCCGAGCCATGACCGCCTCTCACCAGCAAGCCTATCACCACTGCCCTTCCTGGCCCACCAGCCCCACACATGATGGCGGCATCGGAGCCCCATTCCCCAGGGATGACTGTCAAGGCCAAGGCTGCTCTTTCTGTTGCATGTACGTTCTTGCTTGGCTGCCTCCTGTTTTTATTGTTGTTGTTGTTTAAAAGATTTGCTTCATTTTGTTCGGGCCTGATGCCTCTTTGACTCTGCTGATTTTACTGAAGAGGCACTTATTGTCCAGGACCCAAATTCTGCTTAGCTATCTGTGATCAGCTTGCACACAGGCTCTGTGCTGGATGGCCCATGGCTCCTTTGCCAAACTGGCACCACAGGGCATTTGCCTTGGCCACACAGAGTGGAAGAGCACACCAGCAAGGCCCAGCCACGGCAGCTAACCAGACCCTGGAGCCTCTGTGCTGCCCCCTGCCCAGTGGGCCTGGGCCACTCACCGTGGTTTCGTCTTCGTGGAGCACCTGGTCATAGCCACTGAGAGCGACACAGAAAATTATGGCCGTGACGTCCTCGAAGCAATGGATCCACTTCTTGCGTTCAGATCGCTGGCCCCCGACGTCAAACAGCCTGTGGGAGTCAGGGAAGCTGGTGGGTGCAGGGTCTAGGCAGTGGGGGTGGGCATGGCGTGCAGAGCCTCATAGGGAACCCTTGCTCTGGCTGCTGGCATGGACAGCCAGACTGCTGCCATCCCAGGGTGCAGGCAGCTGTTACTGCCCCGGGAGTCTGTCTCAGATTGGGCTGTGCTCACATGCAGTGACTCAAAGACCTGCCCTTGCATTTCACCAAGACAAGGCACCTGAGTACCTCAGACAGGACCTCCTCTTATGGCACATTCACATCTTGTTCATTCCTGAGGCTGCGTGCTGGGTGGACTCCAAACCAGTCCAGGAGGGAGGGAGAGAGCAACTGTCACCTGTTCCATGGATGGCAGAAATGAGCCACCTAAGCTCGTGGTGAGAGTCCAGCTATGGAGGAACCAGGGTCTGACCCAGGCCTGTGCTGCAGAAAAAGCTGGTGCCCTCACCTCCGCCCTGTACTGCCCCTCCCCAGCAGTTTGTAACCTGGCTTCTTCCCTCTCAGACTCCATCCCCCAGGGAGGGACTGGAGGCAGGTGGGACTTTCGTCCTGGTCAGTTTCCCACCCCAATCACCTGAGCAAGGCACCTTATGCAAAGCTGCCAGAGGGGGTGGGTGCTGATCCTGTGTGGACAGGATCCCTGGTCCCTCCAGACAGAAGAGGGCAACTTCAGGCAGAGATCAGAGTGGGCTGGAGCAAGGAAAGGGTCTGCTTCTCATCCTATCACTGCCTCCCGTGGATCCTGTCTCTCCATCTGAAATGCAGGGCATTGGCCGATGTCCTTTATGGCCCTCCAGAATGCTCACACTCAGACTCAGCCTGCTGGGCAGGGCCAAGCTGAGGTCCCACCCTATACTCCCGATGGGAGCAAGAGAGACTGAGGAGCCTGGGACGGTACAGGAGGCACCTTAGGGGTCACCCGGCCATCGCTGCACTGCCCAAGTCAGTGGAGGCGTAGAGGTTCCTGGGCCCAGTGTGGCTCCCAGAGTCTTGTAGAAAGGCTGTCCACTGGGCCTAGGAGCCTGGATATAGAGCCTCAGCTCCTCAGTCTATACAGGAGCGAGCAGAGGCTGGGGATGTGGAAGGCAAGGAATATGAGAATCTAGCCCTTCCAGACAGGGCAGTGGCCCAGAGAATAGGGCCTTATACCTATTCACTGGCCTGAGGTCCCTGCCCTCCCTTCCCTCCTGACCTCTCTTTCCACTCCACCCAATACCCAAAAGCCATACCTGGAAGGCAGGGGCTCCTAGATCTTCATGCATGGAGGTTACCCCAGGTGGGGACACAAACTCCCCACTGGGTCCAAAAACTGGCCTTGCATCTCAGGCCCTCTGTTCTGAGGCTCCAGAGCCCCTAAGTTCTAGCTCTGTGCTTGGGGAAGCCTTGCTCCTCTCAGGCCTCAGTTTCCCCACAGGTCCTGAGAGAGGGCAGGTTGGCTGCTCTCAGCTCCTTCCAGTTTCGAGATTACCTGGGTCCTCAGGGTCTCACAGATACTACTTGGCCTTGCCCAGCCTCACTCCCACAAGGAGGCCTTTGAGGGACCACCTGGGTGATCCACCTCCTCCACTTCAGAAGTCACCTCAGGGGCAGGCTGTTCCTCCTTTGTCCCTCAAATCCTTTCTGTTCCTTATAGCCCCATATAAGGATCCTTCTTCCAGGAAGCCTCCCTGCTTCCCCCAGTCCTTTAACTTGGCAAAAACAAATACAGAGATAGGTTCCTTCTGGTATCTAGCTGCTTGCCCCACCCCGAAAACTTCGTGGGACAGGGCGATGTCTGGGTGTTCCAGATGAGATGCAGCTGAGGGCCTGGGCATCTCCCATCTTCCAGTCACCCTTGCCAGGTCCTGGGCATCTCCTGGGCCTCACCTGAAGTGGAGGTTCTTGAATGTGAAGTGGGTTTCTACGATGCCGGTGGTTTTGACCCTGGTTCGGAGGATGTCCTGCTCGGTGGGCTGGTAGTCGGCAGCCCCAATCCGATCCAGGCTGTCCAGGTAGCTGAGGACAACAACACACAGGGCCATGGACCAAGCATCTGGGCACAGCTCGGGGCTTGCTAGGTCACCCACTCTCAGAACCCAGTCTTGGCCAGGGTCCCTTGCAGGAGACTGTGGAAATGACGACATTACTCCATCCAGACCAGTGGCAGGTGGGAACGACTGAGGAAGGAGATCTTAGGGTCCTGGCCTCACATCCTCCAAGAGCCTCTAGTTCAGTCCCAAGGAGGCTGTGCACACAGTGCCAGGCACACTCAGACATGACCAAGCTTTTAATTGAGACTACCATGTTTATGATACTGTTTTGTCAATTCTTTTTGAATTTTAAAAATCGTAATGGCTAATGGGTAGGTTCTATTCTTTACATGTGTAATTCTTTTTCACCCTTAATTTCCCCGAGTTAAATGTACTTTTTATAAATTAGAAAACTGGGACACAGCAAAAGGAAGTATCTTGGACCTTGGCGTCACTTGCTGTGGGGACAGACCACACCTTTGCATGTCACCTGCCCAGGCCTCAGGCCAGACACTCAGAGGATGCTGCCTGCAAGGGCTTGGGGGATTTTCATGGGTTAGGTTTGGACCCAAAGCCAGGGTAGGATCTGGGAAACCAGGAAGGGGGAGCTGGGTCAGGCCTCAAGGTAGCATGGCAAACCTAGGGTGCTGGGGTGGACAGCATGCAGCTCACAAGGAAGAAGTGATGAGTGTCTGAGCCATGGACTGATGGTGGGGTGGGGGTAGGGGGCTGTTTCCAGCTGCATTTGCTCCAGGACCTGCTGGAGGCCAGCTTCACCACTGTATGCAAGAAGGGCATGCTGACCAGCTCATGGACATCCACAGGGCTGGGGAGGGCAGATACCTTCACCAACTAGGGTGTTCACTGATAAGCTAAGAACCCAGGCCTGCCTCAGATCCTTCAGAGAAAGTTCACTAAAAAAAAAAAAAAAACAAACCCCAAACAGAAGGGCAGATTCCAAAGCTAAGGGAGGAAAACTTGAATCACACTATTAGAAAATGGACTTGCTGGGATTTGAGCCCAGGTCTGACTGACTCCAGAGTCTGTGCTCTTAAACAGGACTCCAGGCCGCCTCTACCGAGCCTGACTGTGCCCCGTGGAAGGGCACGTGAGGGTAGCTGGGGTCAGGGAGCCAAGGCTGCAGAGCAGACCTGTACACTCTGGCCACCTCACAGGCTCCTGGTGGGGCTAGTGGGTGTTTGGGCAGGCTCTGGTCTCAGCCTAGAGGAGCCCCGCCCAGCCCCTCTGCACCTACCCTTCTCTGCCCCATGACCTCTGCTTACAAGCTGTGTCCTCTGCTGTCGTCTGCAGCTGAACACCAGTCTGGGAGCCTCTGACCTCTCCCTTCTGTCTCAGCTGGGACCAACTTCCTTCAGACAACTAGCCTCTCTCTAGGCTGGCCCATGCAAGGAGATGGCTGCGGGTAGGTGGGGTGAGGGGTGGGGAGAACTGTTTAACTTGATTCAGTCGGCAAAGTTTACCATGCCCCCACGGTTTATCTGACCTACTCACTGTTCCGGGTGCTGGGAATGGATGACGAACACGGCCAACATGGCTCCCACCTTCCTAGAGCCTGCGATCTAGTGTGTGTCCATGCGCACGTGCATGCGTGACAGTAAACAGCTAAGTAAGATATGAAGTATGTCAGGAGGTCGTGTCAAAGGAGAGAACTGGCTGACTGGGGAAGGCATTTTGGATGGTGGAGACTGAGGCGGCTGAGAAAGCGAGCCTAGTGGCCCAGCAGAGACCCTAGCAGGTGCAGATGCCCAGCCTGGAGCGGAGGAGGAGCCTGGGTGCAGGAGCCAGGAGGGCTTCACTCCAGGAGTGGTGGCAGCAGGGGACGGGTGAGGCTGGGGTGGTACCAGAGGTAAGAGACGTGGAGGCAGGCCCACGTCTCCGAGATCATTGTCAGAACTTGGGCTGTTACTCTGAGAGAAACGGGAGCCCTGGAAGGTTCTGGCCAGAAAAGTGTTGACACCCTGGCTCTGCTGCTGTGGTGAGGGCAGATCATGGTGGGGCAGCAGGTCCATGGGGCTGGGAGGTGATGGTGGTCGCACTGAACAGCCAGCGTAGCCATGGAAAGGTGAGAAGTGGTCAGGATGCTGGATGCATCTGCAAAGGGAGCCAGTCTGCTGGGGCTTGGGTGTGATGTAAGAGGTAGAGCAGAGTTAATGGCGATGTCATGTGGCAAAATGAGGTGCAGTTAGTAGGAGGGAGGGTGCAGCGGAGCAGGCTCTGGGCGAGGGTGGGAACCAGGTGTTCCACTGGCACATGTCAACTTGAGATGTGTTTCACTGCCCCACGGACACTGAGTTGGCAGCACTCGAAGTCGGGGTGAGGCATGAGCTGACAAAATGAAGTTGAGAATTGTTGGGTGCACAAGGTGTTTACAACCAGACTGGAGAAGACCCCCAGGCACCATGCTGTGACAGGAAGAGGGTCCAGGACAGAGGGGATGGGCAGGAAACAGCAAGGGTGTCTAAGAAGGGTGGCTGGAGAAAAGACCCCAGAGGAGGCTTCAGAGAAGAGGTGAAGCCCGGGAGCCAGGTGCTAGGAGCCATGAGGAGGGGGTCACAGAGGTGGAGACTGAACACTCAACGGTCAGACACTGAGCTGAGCAGCCGCGGGTAACCTGGATACAGGCCATCCTGGCAGGTGAAGGAGCAAGAACCCAATGGGAGTCAGAGAGGAGGCGAGGGGAGGAAATGTTGACAGCAAGGTAGACAGTCGGGGAACTGGATTTGAGGAACCCAAAGCTAACCAGGTCACAGAGCCACACTTCACAGCCCCTGGTTGGATGTGCCTGAGATTCTGGGCTTCTGGGGTGTGTCAAGGAGTGATCATCTGGAGATGAGAGCCAGCCATGTTCACAGAGGCCCAGTACATGAGAGGTCAAGAGCCTGGAGATACCCAGCCTTGACCCTCCCACCCCCTGGTCCCTCCCCTATAAAGGGCTGGGCTAGGAGGTTCTTGGCAGCTGGGGCTTTAGTGTATGTATGGCACTCCCAGAATCACACACTGTGATGGCCCTATGGCTTCCCTCTCCCTTCTGTCACTTCAAGTCTACTTTTGTCTGCTTTATGTACTGGGCCCAAGGTTTTGTCAGATGAGACCTAACCACTGAAACAAGACTGAGGCAGAAAACACACAGGTCCTTTCGCCCCCATTGTCGATGCATCTCTATCTTTCCCACCATGGAACCCTCTCCCAGAGGTGAGACACAGAAGACCTAACCACGGATAAAAGAAGAAAATGGCAACATTATACACTTTGCTAGTGGAAAATCTGAAAGGAAGCAGAAATGGGGGGGGGATGAATTTCCTCATCTTACTTGGTGGGGAGTTGACAAACACTGACTCAAGTTTCTTATTTAAAGTTGTAAAGGTGAGCACCAGAAGAACTAAAAATAATCCTGTAAAAATAATCCTAGCAAAAAACTGGAAGTGGAGGTGGAAGGAAGGACGTCGAGCTGCGTTCCCAGATTTTATGGTAGGGGGCAGCAAATACTATTTTAAGTTAGAGGACCAAGTTTTCCTGGATGTTGCTAGGACAAATGAGTAGAAATGAGTAAAAGTGGGAGAGGTCAGAGCTGGGAGAGGGAGAAGGTTGCTTCTCATTGTTTAACATTCTTTTGTGGCAATGGATTCATGTTATCATTAGTGAAATGAGTATCAATTTAAGTGGAGAGCACAGTTTGGTAAGCCACCAGAAGACAGACATGGGCCAGCTGGTCCTGAGGGTCCCTGAGCATCCTACTGATGGTGGGGGAAGAGGCCCGGACTCCAGGGCAGGGGCAGGGAGCTGGGGAAGGAGGGAGGGCCTTCTCCTGGGCTCAGTGGTTCTGAAAGGACCCTGAAAGGCACTCTCTCCTGCCTGACTCGGGCTGGGGAAGAGGCCTGGCTCTGGCTCTGTTATTGAGAACGCACAGAGAACTGCAGACACAGAGCCTCTGGTCTCAAAGCCTTGCCCACCAAGGTGTCCCTGGGGGCTCAACAGTCCTGAGGGCCCAGGTCGCCATCACCTGGAACTCACGGGATTTGGGCATTTGCCCTTGGACGGTCTAGGTGTGTAGAAATGGGAAGACACTCCTGCCCTTCCTCAAGTCCTTAGCTGTAAGCTGCCACCACAGCCAATGGAAATGTCCACTAGTGAATGCTGTTTGGTAGCCTTAGCCTCTGTTATTGTCAGCATTGTGTAGGGTCAGGGTTTCTTAACCTCAGCACTATTGACGTTTTGGGCCAGATCATTCTTTGTTGTGGAGACTTCCCTGTGCATTGTAGGACGTTTTGCAGCAGATCTGGTCATGAGATGCCAGGAGCACCACCCTAGTCATGACAATAAAAAATATCTCCAGACATTGCTGAATGTTCCCTGGAGCAAAATGGCCCAGCCCCAGCTGGAAGCCCTGGTGAGGGTTCAGCCTTGGCTAAAACACGTCAAGTCAGAGCTCCCTGTGTCCTCAGCCAGTGGGTAAAGCCCAGGGGCTCCTTGCTGAAAGCTTCCACTGAATGCGTGGGTATCAGATTGTAAAAGCAGGTGCATTTCCTAAAAGCCAAGGTGCAATCCCAGTATCTCCACAAGAGAAGAAACATCCCTGACCAACACTGACTATGCTAGGCTCTAGAGCCTCTGATCTAGGGACCAAGGTCATATGACCAGGGAGCATGTCTTCAGTGACGTCTGCTGTCACAGGAGGAGCCCGGCAGCACTTTCTCTGCTTTTCCCCTTCCTACCCCTTCTCACCAGCTCTGGCTTTCACCACTTCCCATTTCTCCATTTCCTCTTCCTTCTCCCTCTTTCCCTTCCACCTTTCCCCTTTCCTCTGTGTCTTCCCTCCCTCCCACCCTCCTTTCTTTCCTCTGCTATTTCTCCTTACTTAGTTATCACACGGTATTAAAGTTTACATTTGATTGTTTATTATATTTATTGAATGGAGTTTCTTTTCTTTTTTTCTTTGTTTTTGAGTCGGAGTCTCACTCTGTCACCCAGGCTTGAGTGCAGTGGCATACTCACAGCCACTGCAGCCTCACCCTCAGGTGATCCTTCCACCTCAGATTTCCAAGTAGCTGGAACCACAGGCGCACACCACTAATTTTTGATTTATTGTAGAGATGAGATCTCGCTAAGTTGCCCAGGCTGGTCTCAAATCTGTAGGCTCGGCAATCCTCTCGCCTCGGCCACCCAAAGTGCTGGGATTACAGGAATGAGCCACTGCACCTGGCCCCTTATTTTAAATTTTAAAGACAGAGAAATGGAAAATTTATTATTTTTTCTAAACTAAAACAAAATGGCACCATTTAAGTTATTTTTTGTTTATAGGACTCTTGGTTTATATTTATGGGGTCAAGGGCTTTCCATGAAAAAAGAAAAGCTGCTACATGGAAAACCTTCTTTTGGAAGTGCCAGGCGGTTTCCAGACAATAATTCCTGGCCCTCTGGGAATTTCTGCTGTTAGGCTGTCTCTTGTGCCCTCTACTTCCCTGGCCTCTTCCTCATCCTGGGGGCAGAGAGAGGAGCTTTTTTTAAAATTTTTATTTTATTTTTATTTTGTTTTTGAGTTGGAATCTCACTCTGTCGCCCAGACTGGAGTGCAGTGGCCGCTCCCGGCCACCGCAGCCTCGACCTGCTGGGCACCGGTGATCCTTCTGCCTCAACCTTCCAAGTAGCCGGAATTACAGGCATGCGCTACCACGCCTGGCTGATTTTTTGATTTATTGTAGAGATGAGGTCTCGCTGCCCAGGCGGGTCTCGAACCCGCGGGCTCAGTCAATCTACTCACCTCAGCCTGACATTCACTCACTCAGCAAAAATCCCTCCTTGCCCCACCAGTCCCTATCCCCTCCCCCCCTGCATCACTGCCTAGCTTCAGGCCTCGCCCCCACCTGGGACACTCACTATTTGGCAGAATCGTTGAGCTGATACTCTCGAGACCGGTTGAAGCACTCTTGGATTCCTGAGTCGCCCCAGAGCCGCACCATGGCGGAGAGCAGCTCTGCAGAGAAGGGCTCGGTGTCTTCCATCCGACTCACCACATCACATACCATCTTGGCATCAGCCTGTGAGGAGAGATGGATGACGGGCTTTGAGGCTTCAGTGTGGACAGAAGACCCCTGGCCAGCTGAGGGTCCTACACATGCCTGGGACTGTGATAAGGGCCCGGCCAGGGTAGCAGCACAACAGCTCAGCCCACAGCCTGTTCAGGAGATGGGGCCACTGTCTCAGCACCCCTGTGTCTCAGGACACACATTGCTGGGTTTCTCAGGGCCTTTGGGGCCTTCTATCACACGCACAGCCTAAAGCAGGAGTTTCAAGCCACAGCCCACAGAGCCCTAGAGTTTTCTGTGGGCAGGAAGGGAGAGAGGCCTGGCTCTGTTCTCCACCCTCCAACTCAACCAGCAGCTCTGCTTTCATCTATTTTGAGAACTCAGGTTTTGCATGGTATTTTGTTTGGGAATTTTTTTTTTTAAATTAACGTACTTGGCTAGAGAAGTATAATTTTCTATATTCCTTACCCAAGGTGGAGTGAAGGCCCTGAAACTGGAGTGGGCATTTTGGCTGGGAATTCCAGTTAGCTGAGGGACTGGGCCACAGTAGAGCTGTGCCTTAGGGGTGGGGAGTGGAGGGGCTGGTTGTCAAGTTAGTGCAGATGGCGACAGCTCCTCATGCCAACGTGAAATCCCAAGAACTTGGGCCCCTGGATCGCTCAAAGATGACACTTAACCTTCTCAATCTTGACTTATTTATTTGTGCCTGGTAGCCTACCTTTCTCTGAGGGAAGGGGAAGCCCAGGTCAGGCTAAACCAGGGAAGGGCAAAAGGGCAAATGCTGAGATTGGAGCTTTCTCCTCCTCTGCCTCCTTCTCCTTCCTCCTCGTCTGAGTGGGTGTAGCTGAATTTGTTAAGGCACACATGTGTAGGCTGAACCTCCTTGGAATTACAGAGGAAGTACTGCATAATTAAGTTTTCTTCTCCTCATCCTGGATCCCAAACAGAGGTCACCCATTTTCAAAGACCACAATCAGATGCATGTATACTCAAACCAGGAGTGTGGTGGTCTTTGAAGACTCAGAAGGCAGTTAGAGAATTCCCAGGACCATATCCTTACCACCTGCACATGCGAGTAGCACTTAACAGTTTATGAAGGACTTGTGTGCACACACACCACCTCCTCAGAACCTCACACCTCCTCAGGAGGGGCAGTGGGCGCTGTGTCCCCATAGGCCTGGCTCTTCGCCCCTCCCCATGCCCACACCTTCTGCCCTGCACCTTGAAACCCCTCCTCCTGGAGGCAGAGCATGTTTCCTGCCTCCTGGACTTTGGGTATGGCCACAGGACTTGCTGCAGGCACAGAATGACGTGGGTGGCGGTGTGCTAGTTCCTTGGGAGGGCTGTGTCTTTCCATCGTCCTCATGGGTCCTGAGCATCACCATGAACATGCCCTAGCTCTCTCGTTCATCCCAGGAAGAGCACCTTGGGTCATGGTACGGACCTGACCTATCTGGATCTTGGCTCTCAGCTGAAGTGAGTGGTTGGGTTCAAGTGAGCTTTGTTAGACCGCATTATTGTGGCACAGCTAATGAATACAGTGGTTGCTGTATGATCATCCCCATTTTGTAGGCGGGGAAACTGAGGGCCACGGAGAGGAAGGCAGTCACCTAAGGTCACAGGTGGCGAGTTGGTAGGGCTAGTACTTGAGATTAGCCTTTACAGTCAGACCTATGCATGCTGAGAGCAATCACTGACTATAGCATCTGTGATGGCCAACAGTACCTGGTAGAGGAGTTTAGACTGAGGAACCTGCCATTGGCCAGAAAGACCTATACTCTGTCTGAGATGACCGCTGCTTTAGTGTCTAACTTAGAGGAAGTGAGAGTGGGGTAGGTGCTGTCTCGAGCTCATTCATACCCTCAGTGCCCTCGAGGGCACTTTCCTGCCTCTGCTAAGAAGCTCTCTGCTCCTGGGTGTGGCAGCTGCACAGTTCAAGAGCCCAGAATGGACAGTAGTTGGTGGGCAAACCCTGGTTTCCTTGTCTTCCAGGGAGGCAATTCTGAGACCAACCCCACAGTCTCTGAGAGGATCCCTGGCGGGCCATGCCCCAGCTGCCCAGCACAGCAGCATCCATTTGCTCACCTTACTGGTTTCCCTCCCTTGCTGGTGTTGCTTCCCCATTTCCCCAAGGTGTCCCAGATACACTTCTTGTCTCAGGGTCGGCGTCTAGAGGAGCCCAAACCAGGACATGCCCCGTCTGCTTACTCTTCACATTTCTCTGGCTAATGGGACCTGGCGCAGACCCCTTTCCTGACCAGAAAGCAAGTGGCCCCGCTGTCCCTGCCAGAATTCCTGCAGGCCCTGAGAACGTCTCTGCCTTGTCACCACAAACCTCCTTAGTACTGCAGGGGTCCCAGCGACAGGGAGAGGCACAGCTGGGATCACAGGGCCAGGCCAGGAGTGCTGGATCCTCATGTGTAGAATCTCATGGTCCCATGGGACCCAGGCCAGCTTCCCAACCCTGTTAGGTGCCTGGGAACCAAGTGTGGGAAGCCAAGCCAAGGAAGAAGCTCAGTTACTGAATGAGGTAGTGAGCCACTTGTAGGCTTTCCCTGTTTAGGGTCCTCCGGCTGGGTCGCCACAGCCTCTCTGACCTGGCCCCGTGAGCCCCTTCTGGTTAGATTCTGAGACTTGCACACACAAAGGCCCTAATACTAGGCCTCAGACGAGACATGGAGCCTGGAGGGCGCAGGTGGTCACAGGGGCGGTCACAGGGCCAAAGTGGTTTCCCTGGGTTCCACCTCCAGCCACCTTCCTCCAGTTTCAGCCTGCACAAGTCCCGGAGCCCACAGTGAGACTGGGCCCTGCTGGGGCCTGGGACTGGAGTATGCCAGGTCCCACTATTTCCCTGACCTCACAGGCTCCAGAACCAGGGAATTTTATTTGTGGGTGCCATTAGTATTATCCGAGAACTCTGCTAGCAGTAAGTCCTTTCAGCCCCCAGTCTCCGATTAAGCCGGAGGAGAGACAGACTACCCAGTCCAGGGCACGTGGCTCAGGAAGTGAGTGGGAGGGATTGAAAGTCTGCAGTTGTGCTCTGAGGTGGAAGAGACACAAAGAAAATGAGATCAGCACCCGGAAGTTTTGTGGCCAACAAAAAGGTCCGTACAAAACTATGTGGGGCCAAAGGCTTTAGTGGAGATTTTTCCAGAATCGAGCTGTCTGACTAAGCAACTATTTGTGTGTCAGGGTCTGACTCCTGCAGAAGGTCTGGCAAAGTTCTGGCAGTTGTGCTCCCTCCCCACTGCTTGCCTGGAAGGAGGTTACAACTGGTGTGGGGCCAGAAGGCTAAGCCCATATGCTAAGCCAGATCCAGTTCCCTTGGGCAGTCCCACATGCCAGCCCTTGGGTCCCTGAGCCACCCTAATCTGCCATGGAGGTTGCCCGCCAAGGCAGCCTGGTCTCCAGGTCAGGCCTGGGCTTGGAGCCTCCCCTAGCTGCAGTGACCTGGAAAGCTGGCCCTGGGGCCTGGGCTTGGGGTGCCCCAGGCAGGCAGTGATGACTCAGGGAGGCAGCGAGTGGGTGGACAGGGGTGGCGCCTCCACCTGGGGCTAAAAACGGCCTATGAGTCAGGGACCTGCCAAGGCTCCTGTTCCCCGGCCTGGTGTGCCTGGCTGGCCTGGCGCAGCCTCAGTCTGCTTTCCCATCCTAGGAACGTGGGTGGTAGGCCTGGTCAGACTTTTCCTCTTCGGGTTCCACCTTTGTGGTTTCTGCCAGATCTGTGGAGCACCCAGCTCAGACAAGTCAGGCCCAGAGGAGCAGGTGGGCGGGGCAGGCCAGACTTCCCTAGATACGAGGACCAGACTCCAGCCCGGGCACCCTATGCCGCAATGCACATGCATGGAGGACATTCAAGAGGGTGCAAGGTAGAAGCCTGAGCTCCGCAAAGCCACTCTGCACTCCCACATTTGTTCCTCCACGTATGACCTGGAGTGTTATGAATCCCAGTCCACTGGGGTGTGTTCCACATGTGGGGGAAGCCGGATAGGCGGTTTCCTGGGATTCTCCAGTCAACAGCCCAGGGGCGTGACACCTTCCCACAGGGTCCCACACTAGCAGCCTGGTTCCTGATCTCTTCCTCTTGCCCACTGCCCCAAGTGCTCAGGAGTCCTGCTGGATTTTGCACTTCCCTCCCATGCTGTGTCCTACGGGTTCTCCTTTCAAAACTGGTGTCAGTTGCCCACTCCTTCCATCTCCCCTCTCACACCTCTGAGGCCAAGCCACGGCCATCTGTCTCCTGGCCGCCCGTAGTTCCCTCCCAGAGGCTCTCTGCCTTGATCTTGCTTCTCTCCAGTCTGTTCCTCACAGAGCAGGAGATTGTCAGTTTCCTCCTAACATTAATCCTCCTTTTCTCCTTTAGAAAAAGAACCCCCACATCTTCAGCTGGGCACACTGACACCCAACTAAAAGACCACATTTCCCAATGATGTTTGCGGTTATGTGTGGCCACGTGACAAGACCTGCACAATGAGAGGTAAAAGTGCTGGAAAAGCTGCTTTCATACCCTCCTTCCTAATGTCTGGAACTTGGAAGTGATGGCTGGAGCTCTAGCAGTCAAGTGGGATCGTGAAAACAAAGTCCACACCCTACAGACAGTAGAACAGTGATCTAAAAACAGTCCAAGTTCTTGACAAGACTCCATACTATCTGGAGTCATACTAACACTGTTTAAGTGGGGTTTTTTTTTTGAACACTTAAAACAAATTTCTATCTTATTTAAGCCACTATTTTCAGGATCTCTGGTATTCACTCAAACCTAATCCTAATGGATACAACAATTCTCCCCGTTTAAACCTTTTCAAATGGCTTCCCATCATTCCTAAATTCCAAACCCCCCACTGTGCCTACAAGGCCCATGCCTACCACTCTACTCCACCCTAAGATCCTCCCACTTCTTCTCTCTCGCAGGGCTCTACCACACAACCCTTCTTTCTGTTCCCCATATAAGCTGGGGTGATCCCACCACGGGGGCTCCATCGGTTCAGATCCTCTTACGATGTCACCTCCTC